TTTTGCGAGATCCGGAAGAAGAAGTAGATTTTGGTGCATTTTACTAAAATTTCATTAATAAAGTTGATTTGAATAATTAACAAGTTAACAGTAATTAACTTGTTACATTACGTAGTTGAAACTGTTATTACAGTTAATTACTGAGAGATATCTAACGTTGGAGTCCACAGTGTTAATTTTCTGACATATACTGTAATTGAATGTTTTCAGTTAACACAATTTCCAAATCAAGTAATTAATACTCTTCCGCGCACTTCTATTCTCGTTGGAAAATATTCGTACAGACATTTACAAATAGAAATTGCTCGTAATTTAAAACTACTGATTGACTAATTCATCAATTAGTTTTTAAAGAAATTAAGTAAATTTTCCAATTAAATTTTACACATCATTAAATCCGAAATAAAAAATAGTAAAATTAGTGTGATAGAGGAAATATAAGTCTGTCAGTCATGAACAATCGAGCTCTTGCACAGACCAAAGTACGAACCATTTCTCGTTAATTAGTTTCAGCATGCTCCTAAAAATGTAATAAAAAAAATTCTGAGCACGTCTATGGTTCGGTAGTAAGCATATTAGTGGGCAAGAGTCTTTCTCTCGGAATGATCAAAAGTACCACACTAAGTTCTTCGGACTTCAAGATTATAGCAGACGTTTCCGTCTACTCTTGAGACGTCCTCGTAAAACTGAATTATATTTCTCCAAATGTTATCTTTTCAACTGATTAGGCAAATGTTTTGAGCACCAAAGGGTCCTTTATTTAAGATTTTTTTATAAAAAAATATTTGCGCTACAGCAAGGAGATTTAATCCTGTAAATGGAATTGCCTAAGAATTTTCGATTCGTCAACACGGTGCTTAGAGAAGAAGTTCGAAATTGCCCCGGGACAGAAATAAACTCAACTGATTGGTCTAAAACCAATTCTATTTCACATATTTCCCCTTTATATTAAAAGAGAATTCACGAATTTTGAGAAAATGGTCGGATTAAAAATAATATAATACTCTTGGTGTTTGTAAATGGTGGGAATCACTTAAAAGTCGGTAGACGTGTAGAATAGTATACGCTTAGGAAGTGATTAAATTTGCATAGAGATGTAGTGCACGTTGGTTTAGCAGCGCCTTCCTTTGTGCGACAGGTGAGGCGCCACACTCAGTCAGTGTAGAACCGTCATACAACGTGGAAACGTGTAAGCAAGTGTCGGCATGCCTCGTCGACAGCAAAGGGCGCATACCACTGCGTCAGGTTCTGTTGACCAGAAACTACAAACGCCTCAGACAGTAATGGGCACGTGAGCGTGTTCACTGGTGTGCTGAGCGTGGAAATGTAGTTTTTTCGGATGAGTCTCACTTTCATTTGTGCTACAGCAAAGGCCGCGTACGTGGCCGACGTTACCGTGCTGATCATAATCTGCCTGCCTGCACTGTTCCGTTTGCCCTAGCGGACAAACGCCAAGTGTGATGGTTCGGGGAGCCAATGGCTACAACGTGCAATCTAGCCTCATGCGTATTGAGGTCAATCTGGACAGCAACCGGTAAATCAGAGAGGTTTTAGAGACCGAAGTAATGCCCCTTCTGTAATCAATTCCACATGTCATATTTCAGCAGGATAATGCCCAACCGCATGTAGCGAGAAATGTGAAAGTTTTCTGCGAAGAACGTGGGGTACCACTTTTTCCCTGACCTGCACGTTCGCCTGACATGTCGCCCATCGAACATGACTGGGATATGATTGGTCTGCAAATATTTCATTCTGGTCCTTCTGCAGCCACTGTTGATGCTTTACGATCACGCATAGAAATCGTGTGGCATATTCAGGCTCTTTGAATCCACGTTACGACATCTTGAGTTTCTGATGGCGGCTTCACATCGAACTAAATTCACAAGGTCAAAATACAATCGTAGTTCTGGAATTCTAATCATTTGTGTATTGTGATATACCAAATCTATGGAATAAATATCATTGTAATAGCATGACTCCTCGGTGTTGCAATTTTCACAAACATCAGTGAAGAATTCTCAAATAATGTCAAAATTTGCTGCTTCAACGATTTTACCCATTTATTTTTCTGGCTCTAGAATTTTGTAATTCAAACACTTCCGAAGGTATATTAACTGTTGAAACTTCGTTAGCTATTTAAAAATCAATGGCATTTAATGACTGTAATATTTCTAATACTCGACCGAGATAATATATTTTGTAATTTTCCATCTAGTCCAATTTTAGGAAATGAAATAGTTCTGGTGGGCTAGATGTGCATACATTGGAATCATTCGTGTTCAACTTACAGATCTTTTGCATCTTTTTTAAAGGAGATTTTTGACACAATGTTATCACAAGTAAATCTGAAATCAGTACAAAAGATCGCTGGAAAAGGCGAGTGCAGACAAAGTCAGTTGGCCCTTGGCTGTCCGTATCGAGCAGCGTCTTTGCCGTTGTGGCCGACGAGTCGGCCATCATGCGTCGGCCGTTCTTCAGAGCCACGCCGGCCGTAGGCGTCTACGAAACTGAAGGGATAATTCCCATTAAAAGAGCACATTCACGATTCTTTTCAGTCTCTTGATTACCGAACATCCTTGAACACGGATGATGAAAACAGCTTAACATCGAAATAGTGTTGCGCTTGCCCCCCGCATCCCCCTCTGCACGTGCCTCCTCATTCCATTTGGCTGCGGCTGACGACTTCCACAGCGGTCCCGCGCGCGGCCTAGCGCCTACCCAGACGCCCGCGCCCTCGCAGTGGTTCATTTCCGGCAGTGGTGGTTCCCTCATGGAAGGGAACGGAGGAATGAACTTCTCACACACATTCTTCTTTTCAATGTCATTACTAAATACCAAATGTCCTTTGATGTAAGAGAGAAAATGTATAATTTTTAATTCATAATTTTCGTAAGTTTTCAATCGAGTTTTTAAA